AATGAATTTATATTTTATCTAAGGAGGAGAATATTTACAACGCGCGTGCAAGATGTTTTGTTCCAATCGAGCGCGTTTTCCCGCGACACTAGCGCGCTTTTGTTCATAGACGGAGCCGGATAGTTCCGGATCCACATACAAGGCTACAGCCTGTAACACCTAGACGAAATGGAGGCCCCATACGTCCACAACACTCCGTGTCCCCATTTCCAACAAGATGGCTAGACTTTTTGACACAGGTCAGGACTCTGGGACTCAGATTGGTGGTGAGAAGTGGTGGTATGAGTCGGAAGGCTGAGTGGTGAGTTGGTATAGAATGTGTATGGTTCCTCAACAAAAAGCAAATCTGATTCTTCCTTGAGAGCAACCTCAAAGAAGGACTGCAGGATCTCTCGACCCCTAGCAGTGTTATGTTGGCAGAATTTCAGTGTGTCTAGCATGATATAGCTTTGTAGTAGTCACAGTCTGTTCTTTGGGAAGCCATATAGGCATTTGATCTGCAGTTAGCACATTGGACTGCATGGTTGACACAGCTTTGTATTGAGCTGTAAATGGCACATTTATGGTTGTTGATAAAATGTCTTCCCAGATAATGGCACACGTTGGCGCTTTTTGACGGGTTGAGGATTAATGGCCATATTTAAGGCATTTTTGGCATTGGGTTTTCTGGGTGGACTGTTGAAAATTGACTACCTTCAGTAGTTGGCCTCCAATCAGAACCCCGGACTTTATTAATTGGATCTTCTTGTTACGGCTGGTATGTGAAGAGATAGCCGTCTTCGAGATTGGGAACTGCCCGATGTTGCACGAGAGTATATCAGAACGGACGGGGACAAGAATAGCTTGTGGACTAATAATACAGATTGCAAAACTACAGAACTAAAGCTACATCTTACACCTAACTAAGTACAACTGTACAGCCTAGCGTGACTCAACTAAATGTCGGCGCCTGATATGATAAGGCCTCCACAATTCGGGCCAGTGTTTATGGCACAGTGGTATAGCCACAACTACAAGTCATTATACTGAGTAGCAGTCATACTGAGCCATAACACTTCTCTTCCTCATTAGTGACACAAAATGCCACTGATGCCCTAGTCATATTTTCAGGTGATCTAGCCAGCCACCTTGGTTCACCTTGAGTTTTGATGCCTTTGTTGAATGTCTCAATCTCGTTGTTTAGTTAGTTAATTGGTATAAAAGTGGCTACAACATGCACAACAAGCTTGGGCCAATTGTTGACTTTTTGAGCCTGTTTTACAAGCCATCCAGCAAATTCTCCTTCCCATTTATCCTGGTCTGAAATCAGCTCAGCTGGATTGGAGTCCATGCAACTGAGAACAAGATTTCCCTTTGGTGAGGTATGGACCCTGGAGATGAAATATTTTCCTAGGACCTTATTAATTCTTTTCCTAACATCAAATGCTGCATAGTTAGGTAGTCTGCAGCCAGCCTTGGTAACCAATGTTATGACATCCTCTGAGTCAGCATGGTAGGCTACAGTGATTGGGTGGGCTATTTTTGTAGTTTCAATAGGAATAATAGTATTTGGTGCCGTGGCAGCAGGTGTTGTTTTTGGTTGAGGGTTTGGCTCTGGTTCTGGTGTGGCTTGGATGAGGTTCTTTCTGCCAAGTACTTTCATTGTTGGTTTAATAATTGCTAACCTTGTGTTAGGAGCCCCAGGGGCACCTTCCTTAAGCTTTTGGGCATAGGTTGGAGCAGTTGGGACCTCAGGAATGGTCTCAGGAGTTTTTTTAGGGTCAGGCTGGATAAACTAGTATGATGGCTTAGTGGTTAACATATTTCCCTCTTGAATAAAGGTGCGAAAAACTTGGATCATGTCTAGGTCAACTTCTTGTTTACTTTTTTTCATAGTAAGTCCATATGCCTGAACAAGGAGATCTCTTGCCTCAAAGATGGCAGTATCAAAAGTGTGTTTGATAGTGCAGGAGGCAGAGATTTTGACAATTTTGCATGGCTGTGATACAGTGGTATTGGTGGATGAAATACCTCGTTTCCGAGGAAGCTCAGAAAAGGGTGTTTTATTGAAGAGGTGATTTGCCCCAAAATCTGTAGAAGTAATTAGTCACTACTGAAAAGATCAATTTTGTATGATGGATTAACTGGTCTGGCAGTAGAAATAATTTTGGTTGTTGTAGTAGTTGAATTGGTGTTCTAAATAGACTCTGAAAGCCTTGCAAGATTAGGAACATCCATCATTGGTGATGATGGTTTAGGAGGGGAGTTTTCAGGGGAAGGACTGGACTGTTTTGGCATATTTGAATGTGAGACAATATAGCCAATTTTTTAATAAATTGTTTTTATTTTATTTATTTTTTATCCACATTTTTTTTAAATATATATACTGGAATCAAAATCACATGATAAGACAACGGATCACCTGATCACGCGTGTAGAACGCGTCGAGCCTTGGCAAGGCTGGGGTGAAATCCTTTTCGTCCAGAGGGTCGAAAATTGGTTTTTGGTCGAGAAATGTTGATATATGTAGATGCGTATATTGAAAAATATATCAATTGAGAGCTAATGATGATGGAAAATTGAATATCGAAATTAGAAAGGCGTAATTGATAGTGGGCGGAAGTTGTGGTTAAAATGGCGGTTTTTGAAAGTGTAGTGCCACCATGCCCAAATTACTCAATACACTGCTTATACCACTCGAGACCTTGGTGATAGGGACTTTCAACCTTCTCTCAACCGTTAATACCCACCAAAGGGAAAACAAGAAAAACCTTCAGCTACGCTAACATGCCTTTGCCATCTTGTACATAGCCGCCGCGCGAGATATGGCCTCACAGTCCTCCGTTTCTCGAGTGAGGTAGGCGTCCAGGCTACCCAGACTTTAATTCGGGGAAATGACAACCAGGAGGCAGACCAAAACACCTTCCATCGTTGCCTATTTTTAGAGTGTTGGTTGCACTATCCTAAATCGTTGCCTCTGCGCCCACAGATACACTTAGCTCGAGAACACTCCCAAAAACGCACGTCCCAACATGCCCACTTGTAACATCTTCACTTGTTCATCCCACGTCCCAGCTGCCTGTCCTCCGTCAAGATGTGAAGCCCTATTAGAGCAACGGTCCTCCATAGACCAAGACCCGAGCTTTGTAGATTATGACTTGAATTCCTCCTCGCGGGTATACATAGCATCGTAAGTGTGTAGTGGGAGACGGCCGGTTTTTGATGAGACAAATGTCCGATGGCAATTGGAGTAACGCTAGTACCGGTATTTGAGGCGAGGCGGTGTAGTAAGACTGGGGTAGAGGACTCGCGTAAGAATGATACGTCAGACATAAACAAGAAGTAGTCGACTTTAGATATGCTTGAGTTTGCTTTCGAATTCGATTCGGAGGCGATTCTTCTTGTCTATCCCAGATATGCAGAGCATACGGAGCGTTTTCATCGGCACCACTGGAAGGTGAAGAATTCATCTTTGCCGGTATAGTTGAGTTAGGGTTGTGGTAAATGTTAACTTAAGTACACATGGATAAGACGTATAGAGATCTTATATATCCTGTATTATTAGTCCCATATTAGCGTGTAAACTAGGCTGGTAGATACATATTAGCAGGGGCATGGTCTCAACATGAATCGATGCTGTGCGTGTCGTGAGATGTACGCGTTCTGTTAACCCATTATTTTATCAGTTCTACTTTTAGTACTACTGTATCACCAGTCTAAAGGAATCATATTCTAATAGATTCTGACGTTCGGATAATACTTTATCTGAATGTAAGATTGATAAAAATTTCATAGCGTCTACACAAAATAATATGAATAACCATGAATACCCATTTCTTTTGAACGATATTTTAGACTACTTACAAGAGTTTTCTTAGAAATTTAAGCGAACTAACAGACTTTTGGTGTATGGTCTTGTTATACAAATAATATCCTACAAACAGCCCCAGCCACAGAGACATTCATTACAGCAGATTCATAAAAGCGGGAGTAAGTAATTTCGATCAGGTAATACAAGCCTGACGAGGATCTGAAGCTGCCGCTCGAATGGAAATATCTGGTTGATATCTTTGTCAGTTTAAAATAAGAGACTGGCTGGACAAAAGGAAAAGGACTAACTTCGACCCCTAGTGCTACGATGTCTCTCATTGTTTGAGGGGATAAAAATTTCTGATGGGAAACACTCGTTGGCCAAAATAAATACTTATAAGGGGAGAAAAATTGGACGCCTGTCATCTTTGTGCCCTACGATCCTCCAGCTCTCACCGTAAAAACTGCAGAGCCGAGTTTGAGTCCAACACTAGCTATGAGAGCCCGACTTTCAATGAGTCTGCAACATTCTGAACTGCCAAAGACGGCACAAAGAAGTCGGGATAGGCTAAGTTACAGTTCTCAATCTTTGTCAAGGCTCTGCTTACATCTCAGTCTGATTTTATATTTAGCTAGGGATGTGAATGATGTAGGGTAAGAAAAAAATGTTGTATAGGCAGAGATAGCTTCTCTTGAGTATTCAAAAGTCTACATCTCCCGGCTAGCTTCATGAGGGCAGCTACATCTTCGATTTAATTCCTGATTTCGGCGTTATGAGAGCTCCGTATTCATTGGATATTACAGATTTTCATAGCTATCATGGGCCAGCAAATGGCCCTCGTTTCGTTGGTTGGAGAGGGGGGAGAGGCATGTAAAAAGGGTTCTCCGAATATCTGATAGAATGAAAAACTGCAAAGGCTAGTGAAATTTTGAGCGAGCTATATAGAAGGCTTAGGTATACTTGGCCCGTATATAGAGACCTCACATGTCCTAACATAGTCATAATCCGAGCGAAGACGTGAGTTTATTGTTGTAAAAATAGTACTGCGCACATGACTTGCGGCGAGTCGATCGACCGACATTTAGAACGCAGCCTAGCACAATGTAGCAGGGGTTATTCGCGAAATCCATGGCACATTGTCTGAACAGTCAGGATAGGTTATCATTAAATCAAACTGCTCTGCATTACCCGACAACGCAACAACTCCTTCATGAGCCAGGACAAGAATAAAGATCCCGAAGCAACTTGCCCCGTTGATGCAACGGCACGAGCTGCCTGGCTCGCAACCAATTCTAAGAACTCCACCGAACAATGTAGCAACCAAAATTCTCGAGAGATATCGAATCATGCTGGCAGCAATCCAGCTCCGCGCCAGTCAAGCCTCACGGCTGTAACTTCAATAGCTGCAACGCTACTTTCTAGTCTTTTATCTCCATGGCCAGCTCCGCCACATATGCGGCAAGGTAGCGGCGTCGTCCTTGGCCACGAAAGAGAGATCTCAACCATACCACGCGCCTCCCTAGTCGCAGACAGTGCCACGGCAGCGCCGGCGAATTGTGAACGAGAAGGTGGCGTTAGTGAAGGCGGCAATTGGATCTACCCATCTGAGAAGATGTTCTTCGAAGCTATGCGCCGTAAGGGGTATCAGGGTGAGACTAGGGATATGAAAACCATCGTTCCTATTCATAATGCCGTAAATGAGCGCGCATGGAAGGAAATAAAACAATGGGAAGCTTCATGGGATAGTGATAAATTGTATGTTGTCTCCTAATTTCTCACAATATATAATTCTCTATGGGGGCAAAATAATTGACCTTGTCACAGATGTGGAGGTCCAAAATTACACTCGTTCTCAGGAATATCAAAAAAAATGAGTCCTAAAGCAAGAATCAATACTTGGCTAGGATATACAGCGCCATTTGACAGGCACGATTGGGTAGTGGATCGGTGTGGAAAGAAAATCGACTACGTGATTGATTTCTACGCAGGAAAAGATGATGGCAAAGGCAACGGAAAATTAAACTTCTTCCTCGATGTGAGACCAAAATTAAATTCTTTAGAAGGGTGGAAGATGAGAGCGGCAAATCTGCTTGGCTTTGTATAATCAAGCCCTCAGAATTTGAATTTCAAAATTTCAGACGTGATTTGAGCACTGAATTAACTCGTCAGTCTCCTTCACAAGACTTATCAAAATTTATCATTTTCATCTACTGTCGCTCGAAAGCCCGGGTAAATCTCCATTGCGTTCTGCTGCGTGTTCCACCCATGATCACGGAGTAGACCACTAGAAATTAATTTATCTACAACGCCCTCGGCAATATTTCTGGTGCGTCGTAGAGCATCAATTAGAGGTTCTTCAGGGGATACTGACCCAAATTTAGCTAAGCATAATGCTTGAGTCCAGGCCTTGAGCTGTATTTCGACTTCGTTCTCGGTGTGAGATTTGATTGCCACAAGAAAATTATTGCTCGGCTCATCATACCAGAGTATGTAACTTGATGCCTTATAAATATGCAGTAATTCCTGGAACTTCTGAGCTTGAATGCTGGTGGTGCTACCTGTCCGATCATTCCTACGACCAAAGCTGTCAAAAAGAGATTTTAGAGAGACCCCAAGCTTACAGTATCCCAAAGCTTTGGATCCCTTCCATCGTAGAACGCCGCCCCATTCAAATATTCTTTCGTTCAGCATTATGTCACGTGGTGAACTGACATCCTGAGTAGAAATAGATATTCCTTTTATCGCCTTGGGATCCTTTATAATATCGTTTTGGGATTTGCATCGAAGATTATCAATTAATACTGATAAAAATAGGTTGGCGCGTTGACGATTGAATGTCCGCATGCAAACTGCTCGTACGGCCAGGTAGTTTGTATATAAGTGAACTACCAGCAATAGCGACAGTACCACCCAGCTTGTCCACTTAGATGTTACGTGAGATACGACAACACTGCCAGCCAGCATTCCAATCAAAGAAATAACTGTTTCTTGGCTAGAGTCTTTCTGCAAAATAATTAGTAGTGATTTCTTTATATTATAGAGGTATTACCGCATTTAACTCTCCGATATTATCTTGTGTTGCAAAGTGAGCGCTTAGACTGGCCTTTGAGCTACCTGCTGCAACACCACAAAGACTTCTTAGAATGCTTGCTAAACTGAATAAAACCACTCTCCATGCTTTCGGGAAAGTTGGTGATAAGCACTCTATAATCAAAGCAGAGTCAATAAATACGTCAGCAGCGAGGCGGAACATCTTGCACTCTGGTTCAAGTGACGTTCCTAATCTATGAGCAAATAAAATTGTGGTTATTCGGCCCATACTCTCGTGAAGGACGGATAGCAGGAGCACAGCTGTTGGAGAAGCATTCGAATCTCCAACACCAATACCTGAACTGATTAGCCATCTAAAATCTTATCAAGCTAACATAACCCAACTCTCAAGGGCTGCTCGTGAAGAAATCATGCCAGCTATAGAGCTGGAGAAGGCTTGCAATGAATCCTAGTGAAATAAGAATTAGTTAAGTGTGTAGTAAATATTGGCATGACTTATTCACAAATATTTGATATCTGAGAGCGTTAGCTATCGCCTGACTGAATCTTAATGCTTCACGTACCGAAGATAATCATCTGTCACACTATTTGGATACCCTGCAGGTAGGAAAGCATTGAGAACAGTTCGACTGTAGCTTTTAGTTTGAACAGGAGTCTTATTTGCGTTAGAATTGAAGATAAGTAGTGGATTGAAGTATTAAACAATTATGTCAATCCTACCGCTCTCTCCAGGTGAATACCTGTACACTGAAATTTGATCGTTGGCCTGATTACGTTCACTGATCGTGAAATATTGATTTTTTGGTGATTTGGGTATCATTGTTGACATGACGTAAAATAATTTGATATGATAAATCTTGATAGAAATCACTGATGTTAAAGGCGAGTATCGCCGCTCAAATGACGTTAAACTATATATTTGTCAATCCTACAAGTACCGTTGTGGATATTTAGTAGCGTTGTAGTATATAACCATAAGATTCGACGTTGCAGGTCAATGTAAAGTGCAAAAGTGTAGTTTAATGGGCGGTGCGAGAAGCATTGAAACGCTCAAAATAATGTAGCACTTGATTTCAACAGCTTTTCTGTGAAAATAGTGACTTGGCTCGGAAGGTGACACAATTGGATGTTAAATCATTCTCACATTTCGCATGATGTTTAATACAAATGCTGCGCTTCCTTTGATTATTTCGGACAATGACCTGGTAAATTTAAGCTGTGCATCCCAGGAACGTCAAGGTTTTGCTTGGGTATCAGCGTCACCAAAAAATAGTCACGCAACTTTAAAATGGCAAAGTAGGTCTATACCTTACACGGGGGGATCCGACTCTGATCATTTTCAGTCCATGAGGATGGAGATGGGTAATTCTAGATTAGTGTAGATGCATATCTATGCCAAATACATAGATTTAGATACGGGATTCTCAGCACAAGCTAAGAGCTACTACTGAATTGAATGAAATGTGCCATATCATCCTTAAGTGATAACAATCAGCCATATTGATTTCTTAATTTCATAACTTTCAAAGTATTGCCCGTGGGCAACATATAATTTCGGCAAATATGGGTCCATTCTATTCACTGGACCCGCGTGGATACTGAAGGACACGTTTCAAAACGCAATAGTGCTATGATTGTAGCATGGATACCCCTGCACAAGTGTATTGTGGATTGCCGAGAAACAAACAGAAATGATGCTAATGTAATAAAATGGGATTGACTGATATCAATTAGTAGTTGACTCCGTTAGACTGGCATTAATTAAAATGATAACAATGTGAGACGTATTTTATTCACATGATTATCAGAATAGTGATTCTTTCACATTAGAGAAGATTAAGCATAACAGACTCATCTACCGCAATATCGTTCATAACGTTCGGCGAATGTGCATTACATTACCGATAGCTATTCCACCTCTTATAAACTTTCATAGGTAACAGCTAGCATTAAGGAATGCGGCTGGCACAGCACTTCTGCAGACTAAATAGGTGTATCCAAAGCCCAAGGCCTAACTTTCTAAAATCTTTCATACGCATTGTAAGTCTCTTCAACATACCGCACACATCTTAGGTCTATTTTCCAGGACTCATCAGGGAAGCGTGTAGAGGTGTTGTCCAAAACCCGGGGTTAAAAGAGTATAGAACAACCGACCAAGCTACCATTTCTGGGATCCGCCCATATCATGGTTTAAGAAAAGTGCATCTCACCAGCTCACATTGTCCTTGAAATATTATGACTTCAATCTGCGGCCAAGGTTTGCAGACTAGACCATGATAACTCGCTGAGTCTGTAGGAATAAGAGTAAATTCATAGTGTGTGTTTATTTTTTTATTGTACAGCTTGAGTCTATGGCTATCTAGCACATTGGGCTCCTCTGTGACCCAAGCCGCACCTTGTTCAGTGCTCCTTTCCTCTTTAAGTACCTTCTAAGATCATTGATATATTCCCCATGATGAATAGCCATTCAGCTCAATATTTACCCGTGGAATTCGGCCACCTTTTCCACGGAACCTTCTACCCAAAAAAAAAAAATGGTAGCAATGGAAACTGCGTGCGCGGGAAAAATTCTCAAAAAACCTGCAGCCCCAGCCAGGCGAGGCCAAGACACCGTGACCACATGAGGTGCGCATATTCATCTATATCTCCATTCTTTGTAACAGTCGAGGTCGACTTGATCCAATCCACCATCTCCGTATCGGGTGCTGGGTACGCTCCGGAAACTGATCGGATGGTATCTCCTCCATGATCAAGGTTTGGTGACGAGTAGGGCTCCGACCCTACCATCTGATCTGATCGTGGTTAGCTTCATGATGGTGGTGATAGGGGAATGTGTTGAGAGATGAAGACGATACGGACGGCGAAAGCGATTGGGAATCCTCTTCGAAGTGATGACTTTCTTACTCAATCTCGGCTCTGCAGACTCTACAGTGAGAGCTGGAGGTTCGTAGGGGACATCGCTGACAGGTGTTGAGAATAGTCCCCCAGTCAATTCGTAGTGCCCTCGCCGGCCCAGAGTGCGGACATCCGATAGGAGCACACTCATGATTGACCGAATCTAGGACTCAAAGGTCTGGCAGTCGCTTTGACTCCTGCCGGAAGCAAAAAATCTGCCACTTCTACTGTCGCGTCAATAATATTTGGTTAGATTTCACAGCATGACGAACGAACAGAAGATGAACGCCACACACACACACAATTTTTCGCAATCCAAAGTGACGATATTGCATTCCATTTACGACATCTTACTGCCACTTACATTTCTCAATCACCTATGCCGCCCCAGTCCTCCGCAGAGGCTGACTTCTGGCCACCTCTCCCCACCTAACACGCGACGCGCCAGGACGTCGAAATGGATACCAACGATCCACAATACACAATACACACTACCGCCCATACCACACAACACCACACCAGACTCAGTCTGCCGCGCGAGTCAACAGTACTCTCCAAACCCCACGGCCGTCAACATGACCAAATTTCTCGCCGAAAAAGTGAGGGCTTTCCAGGAACGTTTTGCGGAAGCAGAGCGCATTGTCAGCGGGTACTGCAACCTGCTCGAATCGACAACAGACGAAGAATTCCGACAAGCCATCGAACTCACCGGCTTGGCTCTTCAAAGCCGGATCACAGAAATTCTGCGGGGCAATTCAGCCACCCCCAAAGCCACAGCACCAGCTCAAGCTGCAAGTGGCCACATCATCAAACCTCGCCTCGAGACAGCTAAAGAGTCGAGGAAGAAGACTATTGCGAGCGTCGTGCGTCCTGTAAAGATCCTCGCCAGGGAAAACACGAGACTAGGAGCAGCCACACCACCGGCTGCTTCTGCGACACGAATCCCTACCCATGGCACAGAATAAACCACCAACCAGACTCCCGAGAGATCCTGGACAGAGGTGGTGCGTAAAAAGGCTAAGCCAGCAACCACAGCTGCCACAAATACAACCACTGGCCACACGCCCACATCGAAACCCAAGGCATCAGCAGTGATGCAGGAAAAAGCTGACGAGCACGTATTCTTACGGCTCAAACCCGATCACCCGTGGAGACGCATTTCTCCACATTTCATAAAAATAAGCCTGGCTAGTAAACTACGCCTGGCTAACTCATCGATCAGACAAGTCACAGTCGTGAATTCTGGATTTGCCATACAAGCTGACGGGGAAGGAGCAAGAAGCGCGCTACTGACAGGAGCGAATACCCTAGACAGCTCTGAAATGAAGTTGGAAGCTGCGTCCAATTGGATATCAGTGCTTGCACCCAATATTCTAGACAGGCTATATACCCTCGAGGGACCAGTGCCAGTTACACCAGAAATGGTGATCGAAGAAGCCACCCTCAAAACTGGCGTCAGACCAACATCTGCTTGCGCTTTTGCGACTAGCAGGGCGAGGCCATCTACAGACTGGGTGCTAAATTATGCGACAGGAAAACCAAAGCTTGGTGAACGACTATTTGAAGAAAGTGATCGGCTACACGAACTCTAGCGCAAGCAAAAAATCGCTCAATGCAACCGATGTTGGGGACACCACCCTACAAAGATCTGCTCGCGAGCGGAACGCTGCTCACGATGCGGCTCTATCGAGCATAAGGCCACCGATTGTAAACAGGCTATTTCGGGATGCATAAACTGCCATGGACCACACTCTGCCGTCGAGCCTAACTGCATGGCTAGGCCGACGCGGGCTGGTGGCAAAACAGTATAGCGCACAAGAGACCAGCTGGCGGTAATTCGCGAACAAGGTCAAAAGGAACGGAACGCTTCGATCAGAGAGAAGGAAGCAAAGCAGAAAGCCACCGAGGCTACTGCCGAAAACGAAAATACAAACGTTGCTCAATGCCCTTAAGGGACCACAACCCAACCGAGCTTCAACAAACGGCAACAGCAATATCTTTCCTCTGTGCTAACTTGGGCAGAGGAGACCCCGCTACGGACATCATCCTGCAATCCGCTTGGGATTCAGGAACCGGTGTCCTACTTATCCAGGAACCCTGGAACTAACGCAAGGACGGCCTCTGGCTCACCAAGTCGCATCCCGGATTCGATAGGCATTTGCCCCCACATGCCGCTGCCAACTCTTCAAGGCCACGCTCCCTCATCTACATGCGAAAGGGGATCAACTGCCAACAGCAAGCAATCTGCGAAGCATCACCAGATCTTACCGCAGTAACGGCAGAAGGAGTCACATTTGTCTCCGTCTACCGCGCTCCTGGAGCAGACATTTTGCCGCTGCTATCATGGGCTCCATCTGGGCCTACAGTTATTAGCGGAGACTTCAATGCTCTTCACACCGACTGGCAGCCAATGGCTACTAGGCTACACGGTGACGGCCAGGTGCTCACCGAGTGGATGTTCGAGCACGGCATGGACCTATCTTCCATACCGGGCGTCCCGACACACGACTTTGGAAACACACTCGACCTTGTCTGGTCTAACGCTGGTGCCCTCGCAGATATTTCGATAGAGCTTGACTCGACATCGGATCACAGAACTCTTGCGGGAGACGTTCCCCGTCCAAACTCGAAAGCTAGAGCTGTAATCAAAACTGGTCAACCGTTCCGAGTGACAGACGACGCCCTGGAAGACTTTGCCAAGGTACTTTGTAGATGGGCTCATGGAATATGGCTACAGCCAATGGACTCAATAAGCGCGGTAGACAACCTCACTGATAAGCTGGTCCAAACCATTAGCGATGCAATCAGGGCTACCGGAAGACGCGGGAGTGCGAAGAAGGGTAGGACGGCACCTTGGTGGACGATAGAGTGCGCACAAGCCAAACGCGAATACAGAATATTCAGGGACGAAGAGAGCAGAAGGGATTTCCGTCG